CATTATATATATATATATATATAGTATTTCCGTGTGTGGAGCACCAAGCCGAGCTGCTGATACCACCCTTCTATCTCGAAAATATAAGTCCATCCATGTTAGAATGTAATGCGTCACTTCCAGGTATTTGTTACCTCTCCCAGAGATCACAGTACCCCCTGACAATGCCTTCATCTGCTTTTCTCTCCAGAAGGACGGTGCCATCTTTGTTTAGGCATCATCCAGGGTCTGAGATACTGGCTCAGAGACGACACAGTCATGTCAATCCCGGTCTCTGTGCAGTTCTTGGCTGTGTTCACAAATGTCTGACACAGATCAGTCCTGATCAGACTGAGGAAATGCTGCCTGCAGTAGACTGATCACTGGGGGAGAGGAGACTGAGGAAATGCTTCCTCCTGCCTCCAGCAGACTGATCCCTGGGGGAGGGTAGACTGAGGAAATGCTTCCTCCTGCCTGCAACAGACTGATCCCTGGGGGAGGGGAGACTGAGGAAATGCTTCCTCCTGCCTCCAGCAGACTGATCCCTGGGGGAGGGGAGACTGAGGAAATGCTTCCTCCTGCCTGCAACAGACTGATCCCTGGGGGAGGGGAGACTGAGGAAATGCTTCCTCCTGCCTGCAACAGACTGATCCCTGGGGGAGGGGAGACTGAGGAAATGCTTCCTCCTGCCTGCAGCAGACTGATGACATCATCTCAGCCTAGGCAAAGTCACCGACTGGAGCTCAAGGATCGTTTTTCAATAATAAAAAGGTGGAACCTTTTCTGGAGAATGATCGCGTTGCTGTATATTGTGAAGTAAAATGTACTAACAGGTCCTCAGGTCATCGACAAGAGGAAGTGAACCTGATCTCACTCCGAGACGGTCTGCCTGCAAAGTGGCGAATAACCGTATAAACCCGAAAAGGACGCCATTAGATGGTCGAGGAGGGAAATGGAGACGCATTACACTGGATACGCCGCTGATAAAAGCTCCATTACACATCCATCTAAAAGCTTTATGTCATCCGATCCATTAGCCAGGAAAATGAAATCAATACAGAGAATGCGAAGAGGACCTGTCCTGTCCTGCTGCAGCAAAGAGCCGCCGTACACCGGCCTGATCCGCCAAACCATGGGCACAACTTGGGCATAAAGACCGGTCACTGCTGCTCTCTCTCCTTGTGCAGGTTGACTGGTCTTGTCTCCGCACCCTCCTGTAATAAAGACCGGTCACTGCTGCTCTCTCTCCTTGTGCAGGGTGACTGGTCTTGTCTCCGCCCCCTCCTGTAATAAAGACCGGTCACTGCTTCTCTCTCTCCCTGTGCAGAGTGACTGGTCTTGTCTCCGCCCCCTCCTGTAATAAAGACCGGTCACTGCTACTCTCTCTCTCTCCTAGTGCAGGGTGACTGGTCTTGTCTCCGCCCCCTCCTGTAATAAAGACAGCTCACTGCTACTCTCTCAGAGGAGGGCTTGCTTTGACGCATTTGGCCAGGGAGGGCTTGTTTTGACACATTTGGCCAGGGAGGGCTTGCTTTGACACATTTGGCCAGGGAGGGCTTGCTTTGACACACTCAGCCAGGGAGGGCTTGCTTTGACATATTTGGCCAGGGAGGGCTTGCTTTGACGCATTTGGCCAGGGAGGGCTTGCTTTGACGCATTTGGCCATGGAGGGCTTGCTTTGACGCATTTGGCCATGGAGGGCTTGCTTTGACGCATTTGGCCAGGGAGGGCTCACTTATTATTATTATACAGGATTTATATAGCGCCAACAGTGTGCGCAGCGCTTTACAATATAAGGAAGACATTACAATCACAACACAATTCAAGACAAGATGGTAATGAGGGCCCTGCCCGTAAGGCACTTTGACGCAGTTGGCCAGGGAGGACTTGCTTTGACACATTTAGCCAAGGATGGCTCACTTTGACGCAGTTGGCCAAGGAGGACTCGCTTTGACACATTTAGCCAAGGATGGCTCACTTTGACGCAGTTGGCCAGGGAGGACTCGCTTTGACACATTTAGCCAAGGATGGCTCACTTTGACGCAGTTGGCCAGGGAGGACTCGCTTTGACACATTTAGCCAAGGATGGCTCACTTTGACGCAGTTGGCCAGCTTGAACACGCATTGCAATATATGCAAACCAAGAATCCTTATGTAGACCCTTCCTAGAAATATGTCTAGCAGCGTGCAGAGGGTTAATTCGGAGTTCTCCGGGAATGTGCCGGCCGACCTATCTAGATCACACGGATGATAAAGGGGAGGCAAGGAGAGAATAATATAAGCTGTGACTTGACAACTGAGTTGTACATTAACTTCTCACCCCATAATTATTCCAGCTCAAATTTTTTGGCCGATTCGGCAGCAATCTACAGAATTTCGGGCCATCTATGGCCAGTCTTAAGAAGAGCTGAAGGCTGCTGTCCTTCTCATATACCGTGTGAGTCCCTGGTGTGTACACAGGCTGCTGCACAGGTGCGGAATAAGTAGGAGCGTTGTCTCTTTAAAAACAATACCAGGAAAACAAACAGCATGTTAGTGGTCTGTGCATTCAGCGTTCAGGAAGTGCCGGAGACTCGTGCGTCCCGATATCCTCTGCGCTCCCCACTCCATTAATTATAGGCAGCGTGTTGCGTACTCTCAGGGCTGCTCCTCCACTTCACTCAGCTGCCTTATTAGGGTTCGCCTTGACAGCAGTCCAAGGTCTAAGCAAAGTGCTGGTAGCTAGATGAATGACAATAAATTTATTTTCCAGCAGAGGGACTGAAATCCGATCCCTGCGAGGAGTTTCCTGTCGGAATCGGATAGAAAGCTGCAGGTGACTGGATCTTCGAGCTGGGACCGGACTCTTTGCGGGACCATCCATCACGCCAGGACCTACAGAAGCCGCTGAGCGGGAGCGTTTGATCCTCACCTGTACCCCCAGCTATAAGGTAAAGTGACTTCCACCTCTTCCAATGTGCCACGGGGCATTGCATTGTAAAATCCGTGCTGCCTGGTTGTGCGGAATACCTGGCACTTCCATGGTGCAGGGCGTGGGATGGCTCCACCGCACTCTGCGACTTTGCTGCCTCTCCTTTTCACAAAGGAAAGGTCAGGCGTAAGAGGAAAATAACAAGTGCTGTGCGGGAAAATTTTCGTCAAATTTGACAAGGAAAGTCATAGAATCCATGCTGCAGGGCGTTATTGTGCAGGAGGAGTAGCTGATGCCTGGAACTGACTTGCGGCAGAGATGCCGGGGACCGTAACAAGCACTGGATTTAAACATGAAGAGAGATAGAGTGGTCTCCACCTATTATGGTCCACCAAAATGTAAAGATTTTGGCAAATTGCCGTAGCTCGCCAGCAAGCCAGCTCGTTTTTTTAACTTCGTCAATCTGGCAACGTTAAATAGATCCGCATGTGGTTGTTGTGGGACATTGTACTTTTGGATCGTTCGATAACTTGAAACGTCCAGCTGTCTGTCTTTCCATTTTGCCGCAGGGCTGACGCATGCTCTCCTGCACCCACCTTCTTGCGTGGGCTCATCGTATAACACTGACTTGTGCCTACAGCCTTTCACAACAACCTGCACGAATGATCAATTGCTGCAGCTATATACAGTATCTGTGCATCACGTGTGCGCTACCCAATCAACCTTTTGTGAGTACAGAACTTGGTGTGCGATGTGGTGTAGGCGACCCTCCTGGGTGCATATCACTGGATTGTATTGCCTGCTTCTGTAGGCTCCTCCTTCTGTTCTGGCTGATCTGGGCACTTGAGAGCACATTGTCCCATGGCTGACTGTTGTTGTCGGCCTATGGGCACGGCTCATGCCATACTTGCTGTGCTATACACTCTGATTACATATCACGTGTGTTAAGTGGAAGGTGTTGCATCTTGGATGATTGGTCAGATGCCCTCTGCTCTCCGTCTTGTCCTTCACTACCCACAGGGCAGCCATCATGGGGGTACGGCCTATACTCATGTAAGGGGCCCGGGGGGCCCACCCGAGTCCCTTACATGACTATTGGCCGACGTTGAAGGGCGAGGAGGCAGAGGCCTGGCCCTAGCAGCGCAGGGCCCCAGTGGCTTCGAGACAAGCTGGGGCCCCATCAGCGAAGCTGTTCATCTGATGTCGGACTGGCCGGAAGTGACGTCACTTCTGGCTGGTCCGGCGGCAGACGAGGCCATATGTGCAGGTAAGAGGAGCTAGGAAGCAAGGAAGGAAAGGAGGGAGGGATGCAGCCCTGACCAGCCCACCTGAGACCCCTTCAGAGACAGTCGCAGATGGGCTGTGCAGCATCTATGGTGGGCTCTGCAGGGTCACTCTCAGGCCTAAAGCCGTGTAAGGGGCCCCAAAATTTCTGATGGCTGCCCTGACTACCCATATGGATCTGTGTCTTGTGTTCTCTGCCTTGTCCAGTGCTCTCCATCTTGTATTTCCATCCCCACAATGGCCATTAATTCTGGGCCTTGTGCTTCATTTTTACTTTTATTTCACTTACTGTGTTCCTGACTTTACAATGTTTGTGTTCCTCATTTTGACATTGTTCCCTTTCTGGTGTGCTTCCTATCTTTTCCATGGCCTCCATTTTTTGTATTGTGTTCCCCATCTTTTTCCATAGCCCCCTTTTTGTCCTGTGCCCTTCATCTTGTCCAGTGCTTCCTGTAGCCCCAATCTTGTCCTGTACTCCCATCTTGTCCTATAGCATCCATCCTGTGCATCCCATCCTGTCCCATACACTTCATTGTATCCTGTGCCCCCTATTCTATCCAGTGCGATCCAGTCTGTCCTATGCCCTCAGTTCTTGTCTTAAACCTTCCATTTACTCTGCGCCCCCCATCCTGATCTGCTCTCTCCATCTTATGCTGTCCCTGTCTGTTTGTCCTATGACTCCATTCTTCTCCTATAACCACCATTCTGTCACCTCCCCCACCATATCTTGTCTTATGCTCTCCATCTTGTCTTGTGCCCCCCATTCTATCTTAAACCCT